TGACGGACAGAATGATGGTAGAAATGACCATAAAAACCGATCCGAAACCAAATTTTAAAGGTTCAAAAAAACAAAAAACAGCCATAAACAAATCAACTGAATCAATATATTTGCTTAAATGTATACCAAACATTACATTTATAATTATTTATTAGATTTTGTTTTTTACTCAATCCAGTAGAATCTAAATTTTATTCATATTTTGAACAAGTCTTTTGTCTAATACCGAAACGAAAAACCAAAAAATTCAATGTGTTGGCCTACCTGGTGGATGAGCATAAGGATAACGGCAGCGTCGCGCCACGGTGAGTTAGGAAGGAGGGAGAAGGCATTAGAATGTGTGAGAAGCTGATCGCCAAAGGCCCAATAAACGGATATAGCCGATGGTATGGTTAAGGTGAAGACATATAGTGTAGCCATTAGATATATGTACTTAAACTTTCTTGGCTTCCACATTGCATGCATTATCTCCCTACAAATTCAAATTATCAACATCTAAAAAGTAAAAACAAACAATCAAAGGTCTATGAATACTCACTCACACGGTAACAGCGTGGCCACCAAAAGTGTACAATATATTAGTGGCTCCTGTGAAATACAGAACCAGCTTGGTTGGACCGGAATGAGTCACTCCTTCGACCTGACCGTGGACAAGAGCCGCGATAGTAAGGTACCAAGCGGTGTAAGTGGTCATTCCAAGACCGAGAAAGGACCATATTCTATAGTTGTGAAAAGACGGTATAAACACTGTGGTTGCACAACATGCTCCAAATATGTAAGTCCATGTCCTCTTATCCAGCTTGTCGTTTATATAATATATGTTACTGTCCATTATTGTGATCATGCCATTAAAATTGATAATCAACATATGGTTTTATAATAAATATTTCTGAATAAATTGAGAAATTAACCAACCTTGCACAAGCAATGAGTTGGATAACAGAACCAAAGAGGAGAAATGTGCAATTGAATGTTAATCCTATTGCTTTCCAATATGGACCAAGTAGACCATCTAACACTTCGAACCACTGCGATTCATGTTTTAACGACATATTGTAAATAATCGCGGAATTAAAGATCTAACAGTGGAGATTGAATCTATAAGAGTTTTGAGAGAGTGTAACCTGAATGACATGATTGTTGAAATTAACATTTTGGTTCTCTTTTCGACTTCTATACTCAACGTAGAGAACACTGATGAGATAAGCTGTCCAACTTCCCATAAAACCATAGAAGATCTGTAAAATTACACCTGATGCCATTCCCATTTGTGAAAATGAATAAGGTAATGTCAAAAGAACTTGAGCAACCTGCCAACAAATTAGAGTTTTTATCTTAATCCATAACAATAAGACCAATAGTGTGTGTGTGTGTGAATTAGATTAGAATCAAAACCTGGTTTGATGCACAGCTAAACCAAGCATCATAAACCGAACCACCATGCCATAGAAAGCTCTTCATACTTAACTCATCTCCTCTCTCTTCAACCTCATGATTCTCCGTTATTCCTTCTTCTGTTTCCTTAATCGACATCTTCAAAATCGCGAAAAACATAAAAAAGAGAAACTTAGGAAGAACTAGTCTTGATCTTGATACATATTTCAAAATCAACAAATGATCGAACTTTCAACATAATATTAGGGATTGGGGAAAACATTGAGAAAATTAAGGGGAAAAACATTTTTGGAACCTTAAAACAAAGAAATTAGAGAAAACCTCTCTTCTTTTGTGTTCTTATCTCTCGACGACTCTCCTTTTGTCTTTTCTTGTTGTTTCCTTAACTTCTTCTCTGTCTCTATTTGACTGATACTAAGAAGAGCATTTCAGTGAGAAAAATAAAGATATATCAGCTTCTCTCTCTTGATTACTGATTATCCTTTTTCTCAAGGGGTCCCTGAGTCGTTTCAAAAGTATGGAAATGTTTTTATTTATGATTATTTTGGTCGAATAAAGGATTTTTTTTTTTTTTTAAAATCGTTTTTGTTATATACTTGTACAGTTGTACCTATCATTATTACTTGTAGAAATGTTCATATCTACTTGTAGAATACAATCCCACCGTGTAATATTCCCATAAGTTTTGGATGTCTTGATTCTTATAATTTGTTTTCTTTCCTTTAATAAACTTTCTTTCTGAAAATAGGTTTTATAATTAGATTATAGTCAACGTTTGTGGAACCAATTGGAATTATTGTTTACGCTTAAAATTAATATTCAGAGGCGAATCTATCTTTTGTGTTAATGTGTATCTTTGATTTACATGTTTCTTAAATATTTGCTCGAAAGAAAGAATAAGCACTCTCTATCTTCTCTCTTTTCGAAAACTTTTTGTATTGTCATTATTACAACCAATTCACAAAATGGTTGATATATCATTTTTTTTAAGGAACAATTGCAAAAATATCACTTTTGTGTGCACATTTGCAAAAATGCCATTTAGGAGTGTGCATTTGCAAAAATGCCATTAATTATAGATTTAGAAAGCCTATTTCTTAAAATTTTAAACCCTTAAAAATGTTTTGACCCCTAAAACCCCTTAAACACTCATAACTAAACCCTAATAGAACATAATTAACCAAACATAAATAATATAAAAAAAAAATTTTAAAAAATTTTAAAAATGTGGCACTTGAAAAATGGCATTTTTTTAAATTTCTCTTCTTGTAAAGAGATTTTTGG